AGCAAGAAGGGTAGATTATAGATTGCTGTTAATGCCTGATATACTGCTAATATGGATCACTGCATGCTTTTTAAATATAGCATGATGGTAAAGGATGACAGTAAAAGAGGGCGACATTGCAATTAAAAAAAAATCAGCAGGATTTTACAGGTGCTACGAATTAAGAATATTTTAATCAACTAAAAAAAAATTTCTGCATATGTCAATCCCATATTTATTATATCTTTTATGAAAACAGAATAAGGCTTCAGAGCAAACATCTTATCCACAGACTAGCCTGTAGAATAACATACCTGTGTTTCCAGTTCACAGTGTAATGTACCGAAGTGGACATTTTTTCATATTTGGATTCATGAATATTTGATTTCTAGACATGATTTTGTTTTGGGTTTTTTTACACATAATTTTATATTAATATATATAATTAAAAATGAATGAACACAACATACACAGACTATTCTTTCTTCATCTCAGAGAGGATCAATATAAACAATACTGATGAAAAAGGAGAGCCATCAGCCATCCCACGCTCTACATATTTCCTGATGGTAGTTGTGTGTACACAAGTTTGAATGAAAATAAGAGATGAAGGGAATGGGAGTCTCTGAAACCTTTTTTGTGCAGATTTGTAAGCAGTAGACTACAAACCCAACTCTGGCACTTGACCATGCAGATACATTTGAAGAATGCTGATTATTCTGAAGTGCAGCAAAAAAATTATGTCATCAAAAGGACATACTGAGTCTAATGTTTTTAACACTCCCTTTTCAAATTCCCCTTGCCATTTCCCAGCGGATGAATCCTCAATGCCATCTTAAAGACCATTCCATTAGAGTTCAAATTAAGTTTATTAGATGACCAGTGGATGAAGACAAAGTTAACATAAGCTTCTGATGCAAAAGGGAAGTGTAAACAAGCAATTTTTTTAACTTATATTAAAAATATAACATGAATAACATGACATAACTTCATTATTTATTCGGTTACACTTTATTTGAAAGGTACTTTTAGGAGCCTTTATTACACATTCTTAAATTATTTATAAAGCAATGCTGGAGAATCTATGAAACTTCTGAAAGAATTTATGCTTTTTAAGACTGCTGCCTTTAAAGACAGGCACTTGCCTTTAAGCCTGAAAAAAAAAATCAAGAGATAGAAAATGCGGACTGAAAAAACAGAAAGAAATTTAAAAATAAACAACTAAAAAGAAAGACTAATATACAGTATGTTATTATAAATAAGTAGATGGCAAGCATTGTAATAATATGAGTGTAGTAAATTGCCAATATATACAGTGACTGAAAATGTGAATCTTGGGCAGGGGTAAAAAAAAAAAAAAACACTGTATCTACTGTAATTTAATTTATTTTTACTTTTATATTGTGCGCTGTGCACACTATTTAACGTGGCCATCAAATACTAAATCAAGGTCATGAAACCATAATCTGTGAACAAGAACATAGGTTATTTTATCATATTTTTAATTTGCTATTTTGCATTGTTCAGTTAAAGAAATAATGTTTTAGTTAATTAGTTCATCATTTTATCCATTATAAATTCTGTACTCTTGATAAGCATTGTTTCCGATTAAGATGCTTTTTCATGTCATTCTCTTTGTTGTGCAAAAAAAAGAGGGATATTTTATACAACCATCATCGAGTCGATCCTAACATCATCCGTAACAGTTTGGCTCGGTGCAGCTTCAGCCAGCCCCAAAAACTGCCTCCCTCTTTTTTGGTCTTGGGTTTCAGGCAGGCCGAAATTGTTGCCATCTTATCAATTTGTGGACTCATGTGCCCGTGACCCAAGTGGAAGCCCAAATATCATACTTCCACCCATCCAATAGGCAGTGTGTGGGTGGAAAATTCTGTCCATGAGTTGTTGAAATGTGGCCAGGGCTCCAAACAAATTAGTCTAAGTCAAATGGAGTAGTAATTTTCTCTCGGGACATTGGAATCAAGGGAATCTGCCATTATCCCTTAGTTAAATTCAGTGTTGAATAAAAGCAAGCTGCAACTAACCAGTTGAGCAGTTTGTCAATGCATGGTATTGGATATGCATTGAATTTATACACTGCATTTACCTTTCTAAAATCTACATAAAAAGAGACCGACCTGTCAAACTTGGGAACCAGCATTTACCTTCCGCAAACAGTCCATCTTTCCCGACAAATTCCCGACAGTTCAAAAAGTGTACATGAGGGAAACATAGTGCCCTACTCAGTCAGAATGTCATTTGAGACTCCAACTAGGGAGATTACTCTGAAGAGCACCTCCTCAACACTGCATGCTGAGATGGAGCAGAGGTACAGCTTCTGGTATTGCATTGCGTAATCCACTAGAACTAACACAAAGCAATGTTCTTAGGCACTCCATTCTAACAGCCTGACAAGGTCCATACTGGTTCTTTTAAAGGGGTCCTCAATCAGTGGAAGGGGGTGCAATGGTGCCTTTGAGGTGGCCGGAGAATTCACCAGCTCACATTTTGCAGGATGCCTCACACCACCTGCATACATTCCCATGAATGCCCAGCCAACAGAAACGGGCCATGAGACAGTTCAGTGTGTTATCCTGGACTAAAAGCCCAGCCAAAGGTTCATGATGAGCACCAGCAACTGGTGCTTTCTTCCTTTGTTTGAGAGTCCTGCGATACGAAAACACCTATCCTTTAATAATAGGGAATTACGCATAGTATAGTTTGACCCCTGACTGTACTATTTGACCAGCAATTACTCTCACTTGGTCGAAAGCTTGTCTCAGGGTCTTGTCCCAAGGGGAATCCCCAGGAAAGCGGGGTCTTGACAACTTCTCAGTTCTTTCCATCTTGGAGCAGTCACTGATGGCCCTGGCTCCGCCTCCCTAAGCAACAAGCATTCCCCTTACCAGTGCCTGGAATTCTGGCCAATTTGGCCTCAAAATTAATGAATGGGTGAGGCACAGGCTAATCGCTGCTGCCCCAGAAACTTATAGTGTTGGGCAATAGTGGATGCTTGTGAACATCCCTGTGTACACACTTTACCTTCTTCCTTTGTGCTCTATCCAATGCCTCACATTGAATCAGACCTTGGTGGACTGAGTTTTGATTACAGCCTGAATCCACCAGTGTGTGATATGTACACACTTGTATGATCACAGGTAATTGCTACGACCCTGCTCGATCAGGGGAAACCTGTGGTACATTGATGAGCTGGATCAACGTTCCTGCTCTGGACTTTGATCCTATAAATGCCGGTGTGTCAAGAGAGAGAGTGAGGACTGGAAGGAGGGGAAGGAGAGACCAGGTAAGAAGCAGGCCAGTTCAGAGCCCGGGCCCAGTGAAGAGGTTTAGGAGGGAACATTCCTTGTTTCCAAAAAAGAAGGGAGAAAAGGAGAGAGAGAAAAAGAGAGGAGGGGCAACCTGCACCTGGATATGCCCCAGATATGCCTCTGCGGGGCAGTGGCACTGGACCCACTCGACTGTTCCCGTTGTTAATCGCTCAATGAATTGCTCCAGCACCACTTGGTCCACAATGCCATTGATGCCCTGCTCCTCAGTCAGCTGCCACCTGAGACAGATGTCCCAAAGCTGCTGGGCAAACACCTAGGGCCTGCTGCCCTTGCACCTCTGGTGCTATTGTTCTGGTGTTCGACCAACCCTCTGGATGATCACCATTTTCAGGTCTCAGTACTCCAGCAGATTTTCCACTGGAAGCTGATGCAGGGAAAGTAGTTGAACGGCCCACTTCAGGCCACACTCATGTTACTGCAGCATGCCCAAAGAACTCAATGCATGCTTCCTGATCATCCTCAAGTGTCATCTTTGTGAGTGTGATGGATGCTGTAGGCATGGTGGGGGCAGCTGGAGTATCAGCTGGCTGTAGCTGTCTTCAGAGCACCTGTCTGTCTTTAGCCTGCACCACCAAGAGGGCCTCTTTGCATTGGGCTTACTCTGAGCACCGGTTGAGGATGGCCTGCTGGCAACCTTTAAGTTGGTGAGGGACTTCATGATCTCAGCTAGGGGTGAGGTCTTTATGATGGCATCTCAGTCACAGCTTCTCTCTTGCTTTTGGCACCACTGTGACGCCCTGGTCAATAGAAGGAGAATGAAAACTTGGGAGGGAGGCCTGAGAGAGGCAGGCATTTTATATTTTAGTCCTTTTTATGTCAGGGCTTTAATTCAATGTAAACAAAACTTCCAAAATCCACATGCACACACAAGCTTGGCAGGACACTGTCAGGGAAAATCGCCTCATTGTGCACCACAGGCTCTCTCTACTTGGGCTCCCCTGTCACAAAAGACACAAATAAAGACACAAATAAAAATAGAATCCTTAATCACATACAGGTGTATATTCATTCATGAAATTACCCTGTCCTCCTCCTAGACTCCACCCTCCTTCCATAAACCAGTGCTGGACCATGCCTTTGGCTTTATATGAAAGAGAGAAGAGAGATCTTCAATTATTAATATGGGTTGACTGATCAAGCACAAATTGTTATTGTAATTTTTTGTTCTTATGTACCAAATTATTAGCTTGTTTTTACTAGCAACACATTTATAAGATGCAAATTTGAGTACTTTTAGTTTGAGGGCATTAAAATCATTCATATGGCTGACATATGGGCTTACTCTACGTAACTGAAGTTGTATTGGAATGTGGAATGCAAAAAAAAGATCAGACCTTCATTTGAAGAGCATTCAAATTCATGCTCAAATTCAAAGGGAATATGACAGGAGGACACAGAGATTTCTCAATACATCATGAATGTGCTGTTTGTCAAGATACAATAATAACTTCCAAGATAAGGTCAAATAAATCACACATGCAACAGTGGACCCATAATTGAAGGTTTTTATTTGGTATAATGTGCTATGGCAGACCAATGTAGGTGCCCTTCAAATAAAATGTTACCCTTTAATCTGCTAATTAGGCAGCATGCTTCTTAGCTATAACACTAGCTATTTATCATCTGTTTATATTTTGAAGAAAACAGCTTTAAAAATAAACTGGATAAACTGGTGCCCGGCTAGCTCAGTTGGTAGCGCGTGGGAATCTTGATCTCAGGATTGTGGGTTTGAGGACCATGCTGGGTGCCAACCCCAGCCACTGGGGGTGCATAGGCTAGTGTACTCTCAGTGCCAGTCCCAAGCCTGGATAAATGGGGAGGGTTGCGTCAGAAAGAGCATCAGGTGTAAAATCTGTGCCAAATTGATATGCGAATAATGGAAGGTGCTCCACTGTGGTGACCCCTAAGAGGACCAGCCGAAAGAACAACAACAACAACAACAACAACAACAACAACAACAACAACAACAACAACAACAACAACAACAACAACAACAACAACATAAATTGGTTCTTGCTGCCAAGGACAAGCATTTTACTCTCCACTACACTCCTGTTGTATCCCATTTGTGTTTGTCAAGGAATTTGACGAGGGCACACAGTTACAGCATCACTACTTATTCCAAAAATCTTTTTCCATGACTCTTTATCAAATCCTCTCTTTACCCATATGCCACTTCAGACAAACATCAAGATATTTTTAGAGTATGTGTCATTAAAATTCAAGTGGCTCTGAGGTCTGTTGCATTCACACGCCTTTGCACTGATAACACTGCTGGGATTAAACTTGAATCTCTATAGTATAGGGATGTAACTGGATATGAATATGTTGTTCAGAATGAACAGATAATGTGTTCTAAATAAAAATAAGAATAGGAGGTGCACTATTCTGACCTATCCTGACCTAAACACTGCCTTACTGAGCTCCAGAATAAAGATTTTTTGCCTATATTTCTGCAGAAAACTCGCCTGAAATTCACACAAAAAATGCTTTTATTTATAGAGCCACTGCTCCATGTTGCCCACGCAGAGCATACACAGTGCACAGAGCAGCATATCGCTGCTGGGGTCTCCAAAAAATAATAAGTTCATTTTTAAAATATTAAAAATATTAACATTGCACATGTTTTTCATTGTTCATAAATGATCATTCTCCACTATTATTAAATGTTCCTGCATAATCATACGCTCATTATAATGAAATGCTGCTTAAAAGACCCCATTTTGACTAGCAGCAGCACTGTGTCCCAGCTTCATATTTGATTCTGACAGTGCAACAAACCCAAAGTAAGTGAAGGAAATCTGATAAAATATTATTTTATGTTGTCAACTATAAACAGCAGATCCTTGATTTGGGAAGGGTATCATTTAAAGGATAGTTAAATAGCTAGCTTATTCAGTCACTTTAGAAACCTTGCCATGAATGTTCTACATGGAATCTGGTTGAGATTATTGCAACTCGAGTGATGTAACTGAGGAATTGTAGAAGTTCAACAGTTGAATAAAATTGTATTTTGCAAATTAGCATTTGTTATGAATGACATGACTTCTTTTCTTTCAGTGTTTCTTAGTGTTATGTGCATAGTGGTAGGGTTCTCATTTAATAAGGAAGAAAAAAAAAGAAGAAAAAACCCTGTCTAGTCTAGACCACATCCATATCCAGTTCAAATCTGAATACAGATACAGATAGTGGCATTGTATTACACTCCTACTATAGTGGAGCTTGCCTTTTCCCTGAAAAGCAGTGATTCGGGTTAATAGCTTTTCTATGCGTATGTATAATAGAAAAATCCAGCTACAATGAGTAACTGGCATGAAATCAATTCTGGCAACAAACATAGTCATCTTTTGACAAGCCACTATATGACATGTTTTCACGTCTCCTTGATGGCTGTCTTGATGGATGTGTCATCCAGCTTGATGAAATAATTTTTTGGTCCACCTTTTATTCCCTTTCTCATGTTTGAACTTCATGGGAATTTAGTTTCTCATGTTTGGTTCTTTGCACTTCTTGTAGGACTTTTAAAAGTCAATGTGAGACAGTGATGTCTCCTGAGGCCTGAAACATCAAGAACCACACAGCTATTTCCTCAAAGTCCAATAATATTCGCCATAGGAACTGAGGGAGAGAAAAACGAGAGAGAGACAAACTTGCCTCATGTTTTTCTTTTTTCTTTTTGTCTCTATATACCAGTACAAACAAAAAAGTGATCAAAGTGTCTGGATTGTCAAAAGTGAGGGACCATACGGACGTGCAGAGTAGGACTGATGAGATGATGGACGATCTCCCTTTTTTCTAGATCACTGAGGACAAATTATACTTCACAAAGGGAGAACTGAGGCCCACATATACCTTTAAGATATGGACAAAGTTCATAGTAATAAATTCCATTTTTACCCTAATGCTGTTGAATTCTTGATTCTGGTTAGTCAGAAGGTGTTGATTAATCTTCTATAACAGCACAGTTCAGACAGTAATGCCCGCTGCAAGGCAAATCACAGGTTTATATTAATGTGCTTGTTCAAATACAGGGATTTCTATGGTGGACATCAAATAACTACAGATTAAAAAGATGTGTTATTATTTAGCAAATAAAAATATATAATCATTGATATGGTGAAACTATTTATTTAACTTTTATGGAAGGAGTTTCACCACTTTGTAACAGTCAGAGATAAAGCTCTTCCTTTTAGTTTTCATACATGCCAAAGTCTTCAGGTAGGAGGAATTTGTGTGACTAGCTGCATTTTTTTTGTCTTATTAAAAAGAAAAAGAGAGATTCTGGTGAGAGAATGACTATTTGTAGGTGCTATAGCATAAGTGATAACAGGAACTAACCTGTATCATAGACGTTCCACAACATTATAAGTACTGAACAGATAAAGTATTACATGACATTCTTTAATAAATATACATTGTAATTACTGGCAAATTTCTGTGGTATATGAGGAATAAACATTTTGGGAAAATAATTAAGTGCTGCCAGTAGCAGTCAAAATGCATTATGCGTTATCTTGATATGTCCACTAGGATTCTATTTAGAATAAGGCACCATTCTTCCACATCAAGTGTACAATGTAGGCAGAAAAAGGCTCCTAATTTTCTGACAAATATGGGGCAACCGCTCCTGACTCTCCTGATATAAAATACCCGGTGTAATGCATTAAATGTCCAATAGTGAGTCAGTAGGGTTCGGGCTCCATTCTACCTCTATTATTTACATAATACTATGTACTCCTTCAGACTATATAGTGCACTATATACAATAGTAACTCATTAGGGATGTGGCTCTATTACAAAGAACAGATTCTTTGGCTTTACAAATACAAAAGCTTTCTTTGGATGTATTGGATGGATTTATATTTTGGGAAATAGAACCAACTAAATTCATTAGAAAAAAATCACAGGGTGGTACAAACTAAAAAATAATATCATTGGTTGTGACCAATTATGAGCTCAAGTGAGGTAGCTGAGGGCAAGGAACTGTCAGAGCCACAATTCACAGACTATGCTGACAGTGCTGCCTTTTCTACTTCTGGGTTTTTTTGAGTGTTATATTTAAATCTGGTTTGGGCCACACCCACTTCAGGTTTAAACAGGTTTAATCTGCAGATGCAGATATGGATATTTGGAGCATTAAACTGATACAGATACTGATACAGATAGTGTCATTGTGTAAACCTTTACTATGTGGATCCCTATAACAGAACACTTACCTATCGAAAAGTGTCCAAGTAGAACCTGTTTTAGGCTTCTTCACACTGCATAGTGCACTATATGTTCAGTAATACTAGAGATTCAGCTGTCTATGCAATCAGTAAGTGCACTACATAGTGTAAGAAATACTGGCTTATACACTCTGTCTAGTGTACTCTGTTTAGTGTACAGCAGAGAGTCAGTAGGGATTGCACCACTATTAGTGTGCAACAGAAGATATATAATAATTGCTCTTTCACTGTACGTAGTGCACTATGTGAGATGTGTACAGTAGGTAGTCATTTAGGATTCAGCTTCCTATACCTTACATAAATACACCATATAGGGCTTGAAATAATTGCTCCTACACCCTATGTAGTGCAATATAAGTCATGTGGAACTCAGTTTTCTACTCCCCTACGTGATGCACTCTTGTGTCCAACAGCTGCTTACATTTAATGACAAGAACAGGAACAGATGCTCATTGCGTGAAATGAATCGAGCATAAACGGACAGTTTATAGAAGCTTCCATTCTGTTCCTTTCATGTGTGAGACACTGAGTCTGACATGAGCAACCACCCCTGCTAACTTTCTCTGAAATGAGACATGACCATACTCGTCTGTCTTCAGCTCTGTAAAGCCTCGTCGGTTTCTCTCAACTCAGAAAGCAACCATCTCTGTTTGTTGTCTAGATCAGAATTTGTAGGTTCTGGCACCTTGTCGAGCTGGATTTCTTCACAGATCGTTACACACTTACTCTGCCGCAGCCAGTGCGCACTTTAGACTGTGAGTGGGAATTTAAAGTGCATTATTAATGAAGGCAAGATGAGGTGTAAGCTAGCGTTAGAGCTTCTTTTTTATGTTACAACGCCAAAGCAATTAGAATAAGTGATGCCGGTGCAAAGGAGACTGCTGAAATATATTTTTAATTAAACAGTGTCACCGACTGATGTAAGGAGCCAGGACATTGCTACACATGTTAAGGGAGATTGTGAACAATGCTGCCTTTCAAAATTAATGGTCTTATTTAGAGCATCTATTCAGCTCTCTGTCCTTGAACAGGTTAGTTACTTGCTTCAACATCAAATATAGGTCATTTGGGTTCCTGCAGTATTACTTTATACATATATATATATATATACTGTACATAAGCTAGCTCTATATAAATCATAGGAATGGGAGTGTCTTCATAATGTATGCAAGCTTATCGCACTAAAAATTAGATGCATACTACATACACGTCTGTTTAACACAATATTTATTATAAGCATCTGGCCATGCAATTTGAGCTTGAACATTTTGTATGCCATATGACCATAACATGTATGTAGACTGTACCTGTGCTAAGAATAATAAAACATATCTAAAACCCCTGGAAACATCACTTCTCTGATAAGTCCTTTTAAACATCATCTATATTTTATTGTACTACATTTTAAAGAATCCTATTGAAACAACTACTTCCTGAAGTGTCTTTATACTGAAGAAAAGGCAGAAACATTTTCCCACAGGATATAATGGATATAATCTTTCCCAACATGCCAATTCGG